ATATATACCTCTCGTTTATGTTAATACTGCCACTTAACATTGGTTCTTCTGCGTGTTCTTATTACAATTTCTTCCGAATTGACTGTAATTTGACATTTAAAGTTTTCAGTGTGGTGAAATCTATGCCGCAACATAAAAGTAGGTTATGATTTTGAGTGTTTGGATGCTTTAAGAACTATTTTCTAATCAAAAATAAAATTTTTGGCATGGCAACCATATAGGGGCATATAATGTAAAAAATATGCAACATTTTGCGATCTTTTTCGGAATTTTTCAATAAGAATTTGCGGTTCAATGGCGGTCTGAAACAATTCTACACAAAATTCCATATAAAAAAAAACAGCATTCGATTTATCAGTTTCCAGACCTTTCTAGAGGCTTTTCCCAAATTTTCTTTCGTAAAACCTTTCAAGTGATGTGTTGCTATACTTTTTATACACTCCACCATACATAGTATGGAGGGTATATTAAGTTCGTCAATCCGTTTGTAACTCATCGAAATAATAATTTTAGACATAACAAAGTATATTCTTGATCAGCGTAAAATTCTAACAAGATAGGAAGCTAAAATTTTGCACAGATTTTAATGATTTTAGCCACATTTTCCAATGGACTTGTCCGAAAATCTACACAAGGAGTTCTTTCTGAGTACTTTACCCTCTGGAAGAGAATTGTTTATATACGTCCACGATATCGTATAGCCCCCATACAATGGTACCCCCCGACATTCGGTATTTTGATGATTTTAGCCACATTTTTCAATGAAATTGTCTGAAAAAAGAAAAACACTAGAAGTTCCATTTGAGTACTTCATCCCCTGGAAGATTGTTGTTCATATAGGTCCACGATATTGTTTATCTCCAATATAACGGTACATCCCTATATTCGGTATTTTGATGATTTTAGCAACACTTTTCAATGAAATTGTCTAAAAATCCATACTAGAAGTTCTTTCCAAGCACTTTGCTCCCTGGTTCAAGATATCGTATTGCCCTCATACAACGAAACACCAACAATTTTGATAATTTTAGCGACATCATTCGGCGGAGTTGTTTCAAATTTCTTATTTAGAGTTCGTAATGGGAACTACAGTCTATGACAGAAAATTGTCTATGCAGGTCCAGGCCTTCGTACAAGCCCCATACATCTGTACCTCGCGATATTTGGTATTTTGATGATTTTAGTCACATTATTCACGGATTTCTTTCAAGTTTCGTATTTCAATATAGGAATGGCTTATAACAAAAGTTGCCTATGCCGTCCACATCTTCGTAAAGACCCCAATATAACGACTATAAACGTTTTCAAAGTACGGCCCGGAGGAACTTACAGTTTTTTTACTTGTTTATACAATTTATACCCTACACCACAAGGTGGTCAGGGTATTATGTCTTTGTGCATTTGTTTGTAACAGGCAAACGGAAACGAGATAGACCCATAGTTCCTTTTGATGATCTACATAGAATCACATTCTGAGTCGATTTATGCATGTCCGTCCGAAAACAAAGTACAGTTCGCATTTATTGCCCAATCCAGATGAAATTTTGCACAGATCATTTGTTTGGCTCAAGGACAAACCTTATTGAAATTGGAGAAAATCGGTCAAAATTGAGATATAGCTCCCATATATCTTCGTCCGATTTGCCTTTTATTGGGCACCAAACGTTTAATATCAGCCCAAATAGTATGGAATTTCGCACAAACAACCAAATTAGGCCTGTAAATAAGTATGCCAAATTTGACCGAAATCGGTTCAGATATATCTATAGCTCCCACATATATTGTTCATCCGATTTGTTATTTTTGTCCTCCGCAGCCGTAATACGCACCCTGTAACAACAATATTTGAGGAAATGTAGCAAATACAGCTCAGAAATACATTTGCTAAATTTTATCGAGATCGGTTCAGATTGGGATATAGCTCCCATATATAACTTTGTCCGATTTACATTTTATTGTACACCAAACGTCTAATATTTGTCCAAACGGGATGGAATTTGGCACTTACGACCGAATTTAGTCTAGAAGCTAGTATGTAAAATTTGGAAGATCGGTTCAGATATTGCTACAGCTCCCATATATATTATTCATCCGATTTGTTATATTTGTTACCCACAACCGTAATATGCACTCCGTAACAACGATATTTAGGTAAATATATTAAATACAGCTCAGAAATATCTTTGCTAAATTTTGTCGAGATCGGTTCCTATTTAGATATAGCTCCCACATATATCTTTATCCGATTTCAAATTAATTTTGCACCAAATGGGCAATATATTTCCGAATTTAAAAGATACAAATGCTTTGACATATTTAGTCCTTTGAACTTTAAATTATAATTATAATGATAGCGTGTATGATTGAATTTTCCCATAAAAACGTTTAATTGTTATGTGCAGCTCTACTAAATTAGCAAAGTGGTGTAGGGTATCATAAAGTCGGCCCGCCCGACTTTCGGACTTTCTTTACTGGTTTTATAAATATAGAAGTAGGCGTGGCTAGTTCCTCTGAACCCATATACTAACTTTCATATACCTCATATACTATCTTTCAAACAGATATCTTTATTACTGTGGCATATATAAGGATTTTGAGTAAATCAAAGAAATTGGGTTAAAAGTGGGGGTGTTCAATTTTTCTTTGCATAAAAACCTAACTCGGGTTAGGACGAATATTTGTAAAAATTGTCCAAATCTAAATTACCAACGAACATCATTTGATTTTATCTTCTTCTTCTATATATATAAAAATCAATTGTTGTTTGTTGGTAACGGAATCAGTTGAAAACGGCTGGACAGATTTGCATATTTTTTTGTAAAAACTTTCGTCATACCCCGAGTTAGGTTTTTAAAGAAAAAAATATAGACCACGCCCACTTTTGCGCCCACAATTTTGATTTATCTAAAATCCTTATATTTGCCAATATAGAGGAGATATCGGTTTGAAAATTATTACACGAGATACTGTTGACTTTTCATCCCCCTCTAAGTATTTATTTGGGGCTGAGGAACTGTCGTTGTCAGTACTTTTTAATCTATATCTATCTCTTCTTCTTCTATTATATAAAAGAAAGTTGTGTTAGTTACTACGCTTATAACTTAAGAACCGCTGGACTGATTTTAACGATTCACACAAATTCGGAATTGTCTTCTCTCCGAAAAGGATAATATCCAAAAAAATCGCGTAAAAATGTGATATACTAACATTTTAATTTTGACTTTTGAAATGTACAATAGTAATGTTTTATTTTGCATGATTTTTTTCCATTTTGACTTACTTTTTTCTAATGTACATTTGTAGTGTTTTTTATATTTTTTTTTTGAATTCAAATATTAATACCAATTTATTTAATTGACTTGATTTCTTGAGAAATGAAATTGATGGCGAGTTACATGGAAGTGTAGTACCGAATTATGTGGTGGCGAAACGGAATAGATGATGTCGAAATAATTTAATGGAATCGAATTTTAAAATAGAAGTACATTCTATTGACAAACTATATAAGAATCTTTAAACATTTGCTGTAAAAAATCAGCGAACAAGTTGAAGATTTTTTCATTGTGTTATTCTTCTTTTGTCAATTTTTTTCAATTTGTATTATCTAATTGAATTCAGTAAATTTTTTGTGAACAAAATAAAGAATAATTTTTCACTATATACAAATTTTCACCAAAAAATGAAATAAGTGGGAAATAAGATGTTAACTGACATCTACCTTTCAACTCCAGGGCCGACATCGTGGTTCAGCAGGAAGATGTGAACACATTTGAACAAACAAAAATTACCGAAAAAGCCTAATGGGGCTCATTTCAAAGCGTGGAACTACTTCTTTCCTGTCACAATAATCCGTCCAATGTACAATCAGAAAAATACCAAATATAAAGGGTGGAAAATAGTAGAGCGAATGGGACTCTTAGTAAGAAAAGGATTTGTATCCTTCCAGAAAATCTTCCCAAACATTCAAGATACCTTAAATCGCTTTTGCAGGTCATGATATCGATCATAACTCACGGATAAGGGTACAACCCGATTTCATATTTATATAACCATCGTATGATTTAAGCTATTTTTGGTGTCTTGGTCACTTTTTAAATATTTTGGCCATTATTTGGCATCTTTGTTTCTAAGGAGGTAGAGAACCTTTTCGCATAAAGATTGAAATTTTCAGAGTAGGGCCCATTTTGGTCTTGACCACATTCATTAATTGATTTGGTTAATAATTGTTTTTATGCTACTCTGGGGTAGGGAACCACCATACAGATAATTGCCACATAGGAATTTATTTAAGTAAAGTCCCCATATTGGAGTATCCCCAAGTCCACTTTCACATCTAATTGGTGGTCAGAAAAGAAAATTTTGTTTTCTATTGAATTTGTAACCCCCAAGAGAATATTGGTTGGGCCACGTTTTGGTATAACCCTTATATAAATGTATCCCTGATTTTTCAACTATTTTGGCTATTATTTGCTGTATTTAGGCTACTTTGTGAGTAGAGAACCATCTTACAGAAAAATGTCAACATACGTAAATATTTTGGTACAGTCCCCATATAGTCCCCAGGCCCGCCGATCTATAGTGATGTTTACCGATTGATGGACAACAACGCGGGTATTGCTTAATCGTCATTGAATTTTTCTATGAACAAGAACATAGACTTTTTGGGGACTCTAATGCGCAATTTGAGGTGCTATGGTAATGGGTGTAAAAGCGTAATTAACTTTGACTATTCAGAAATTATTTTGCCCTCCTTCCATAGTTATTTATTTCTATTTAGTCGAATCAATATTTATATTAAAATTTGTTCACCTTTATGAGCTAGATTTGTGAAATATTATGCTATGCAAAATTTGCATTAAAGACTAAAACTACGGGCCGGCAACGCGGACCGGGCCAGCTAGTATATATATAGATGTAATGGTATCTTGGCTAAAAATTTATCATATTTTTAAGTTTTTAGAAACATTGTAAGCTAAAACACTATAATCCAAAAAGTAGACATGGTAAATTTATCTTTCTTTTATCTAAGTCTGGGTATGATGAACATTTGTAATTGGTTCAGCCGTTCTCAACTGATTCCCTTACCAACAATTTGATTTTTTACTTATGTATAATAAAAATTAGGCGTTGCTGGTTCCTCAGCCCCAAATGAAATATTTAGGGACAGAGATAAAGTGAAAGCATCTCGTGTAATAATTTTCGAACCGATATCTTCGTATTCATATTAGATGAATCGAAATAGTGGGCGTAAAGTGGGCGTGGTCAATATTTCTTTCCAAAATAACCTAACTCAGAGTCAATGCAGTTTATCTATTTACATAACTATGTAGATACATATTATGTACGGCATATGTTTTGATTACTCTTAACACACATTCTAATATTTACTTCTTTTTTTCTTCTCCTTTACAGTATGTATGGTTAAAAGCATTTCGGAAATTGCTGAATTGTATATGACATCATGCCACAAACATAATACAAAGCCACTACAATGTATACTGGACCACTTGAAGGCGGTAGATCTAACAAAACAGTTGAGACAACCCTTGCTTTCTCTCAAGTCAATACAATTGGCGCCAAGTGATTGCGAGGCATTGGAGGAAGTCCTCAAAAGGGTAAGTTACATGGAAAATTACACGGATGCGTCGGGTATCATTGTGAGACATCGATTGTTATAGGATAAATGATAATTTGGTGCCACAATGATTGTAATTCCATTTATTGTGCGTAAAATATTTTATGTCAACTGTGGGTTATGTTCTCCTCCATAGCTATATAGTCTTCGTCCATGAAGTACATTGTTATTGCCCCTTGCGTTATGCCTATCTCTTATAATTTAAGGGAAATGTGAAATAAAATCTATTTCAAAAATTTCTAGTTCCTCCTCATCCCCACGTAGAGATCTAACCTGCAGTGGCCTGCGACCAGACCCAATGTGGGTCTTAGCTCTAATTTAGCAAAATCAGGCCGTCTTTTCTTATTAAATATAAGCTGGGCCAGAGTAATACTATGATAGAGAAACAGTAAACAACATCTCGAAGACAATTTGGGCAACGCTCTCCCGGAAGAGAACAAGGTCGCTATCTTCCTGCCGAATCCTGACTTGAAACATGAGGCGGGAATCGTTATTTTGCAAATGGACAGAAAATATAAAGAGCTGAAACTATCGATCTTCTATCTATCATAGCTTAACATTGTCGCATAGTGCTTCTCTGCAGTCTCGGATAGCTTAGACTTGTAGAATATTGAGAGAAAGCCACTAATAAAATAATTTACTTCTCTTTGTTTTGCATTTCTCAATTCGTAATGATTTTGTCGTTCCGGTAACTTACTTGGTCATGAAATACTTGTCTGACTCTTAAAACAAATTGTTCAAAGAAAAAGTGCAGAAAGTTTATTTTAATATTTATGCCCTTTATTAATGAATAAAGGAATCAAGATTGATATTGCGCCTTAATATAGTCCAATGCAAACGTTTTTTCAGACAGTTTGTAATTATAGACACCTGGCATTTCTTTGATATATGATTTGGGATTGTGGATGTATTAAGTGTTCATCATTTTCACACACCGATAATTTTCTCCTTCTTCTAACCCATTCTTTTTTATACCCTACAACACTATGTGTTGGGGGTATTATAAGTTTGATTGGGCCAAAAATTATGTAACACCACGAAATATTGATTTCCCACATAGGAAAGTATATATGGATCTTCTTATCTCGCCGAGCTGAGTCGATCTAGCTATGTATATCCGTCCGTCCGTCTGTCCGTCTGTCCATGTTAATTTGTAATCACTCTACAGGTCGCAATTATGGTCCGATCTTCACGAAATTTAAAATGGAGGTGAGGCTTGGGTCAGAATAGAACCCTATTTCTTTTGGTGATGATCCCATAATATTTAGGGGTTGAAATGGATCGGATAATATTTAGCGGGTAAAATAGACCATATCTTTTTTGTTGAAAAAATTCAAAATTTTTCATTAAACCGCGAATATTTTAAATCCCGGCGAAATCACAAAGCCATGACAAGGTTACGTCTGATCTTTACATTGATGTTAACATCCAACAAAACGGATATATAGCAAAATATGTGCGATATATATGTTTATCAAAGAAGATATGCTTGAAAAATCTCTTATATGTCGAGAACGGCTGAACTGATTTCTACAGTTTTCATTAATTCAGAATGGCCTCTTGGCAGGAAAGAAAAAAAGTCTAAAAAAATCGCATAAAAATATCTCTCTAAAGATGAAAATATTGATTTTGTAAAATTTTCTCATATTTTTTTAATTTTGTCATATTTTTGGCATATTTTCATTTTGAATTAAACGTTTGGTAATATTTCTAAAGCTAACAAAACCAAGTAGTTAGGATATCAGGATATCATATACAGATCGCATTTATGGTCCAATGCTTACGAAATTTTGCATGGAGATAAGATGAGGGTCAGAATAAAAGCCTATTCTTTTTGGAGATGATCGCCATATATTTAGGGGTTGAAATGGACCAAAAAACTGCAAAATTGTCAGCAGGTCGTAATTATCGCCCGATGCTCACGCACATTTGAATGGGGGTTACCGGACATTGCAAAAGCCAAGCAGTTTTGGATGGCCATCCAAAAATATTCAATGTGTGAAGGAGTTTGCCAACTTTTGTAGACAAAATACGAAAATGTCCATTCCAGTGACTTTTTGGAGAATTCACTTCTGACTATTTCGTTAACGCTGATTTCGTTGAAGAATATAGTCAAATGTCTGTGTTTCAGTCAAAAACCAATAATAAATGTTAATATTTTGCCACTTCTGAGAGATTATAGGTCTTTGGGAAATATTGGTTCCAGATCTTGGAAGACCATTTAAGTGCAACGTCTACCAATAAATTGGAAATGAGCAAATTAGTTTAAGTTGCTATTATTCGAAAATTAGAGAACGAAACCTGATGGTTTTCTTTTATTATTTGTCACAATATCTTGTGGAATTCTTTCGAGTATCTCGCCTATATAAACTGTATCGTTTATTGTAGTGTTGTGGGGTATTCAACGGTCGGCCCCGCTCGACTGTAGCCTTTGCTTACTTGTTTTTAAATATTGTTTATTCTTTTTGTAATTGTCATAAATTCTAGTTATTTGTATGTTTTTCAATTAATTTATGATTCCATGGAACAATCGTACATTTATGATGATATTCTGAGGAAGAACAGTACGAATTTTGGCACTTTATGCGAGTTTGGGGAGATACTTTAATTTTATTAATATTCTTTAACAATCACTATTCATCTCAGTGTTTGGACTTTTGTGGTTGAAGTTTTGTATTCAAAATTGTTAAAACTTTGGCTAGAAATTATGCGAGACAAGAGAGAAAATACAAAAACTACTTCAAAAGCTGTAGAGGACAATTTGAACATACTTTAAAAATATTTGAGCATAGTTTTAACTGGGCTGGTCTTTTTTTTAAAAAGTTTACCCAAGAACCTACCCGTTAATTCATCCTGTTCGGACGGATTAATTGGTTTAGAAGTTAGTCTGATGTGACGACTGCCAAAGAAAGGCACCATTACAAATCTGATTTTTTTTTTAATTTTAACTCGAAAATATGAATAAATTACTTAGAACTTTATTTTCTTTCGCATTTCCTTTAGTATTTTCATAAACAGGACCTAATATTTTTCAAATACAAAATAATAATTGAATTGGTTCAGTAGTACTTTCTCTATTTCTTTTGAAGCATTTAATAAGGAGTCTCTCTCTTTTATTTTTTTGGCCAAGTACATTCAGTACGATTTAGTGTATTTTTAGTTTCAAATCGATTTCAGAAAACGAATATCTTCTTTGTGTTGTCATTAATTGCTACAAATTAAAAAAAGCTGTTTAACAAACCGTTTCCTTCGCAAAAACAATTTATTAATTATTACTAAAAAGAGTGCAACTTGTATTTCAGGTGCAGTACAAATCAATAGACATTTCCGATTGCAAGCTCAACGAAACGGCTGCTAGCGCACTTTTTGAAATTATTGAATACTATGAGGCTACAAACGAACTAGATATATCATCGAATGCCACCGGGATGACGCACAGAGGATGGCTTTCTTGCACCTACATGATTAGTCACAGCCAGGAACTGCAGGTGCTGAATGCTGAGGGCAATCCCATTACAAAGATTAGTGCTGATCACTTGGGAAGTGCGCTCAACACATCCAATTTGCATACATTAAAATTGGAACGTTGCGGCCTCAAGGGAGCACCGCTGAGCAGTTTGTGTAAGATGATATGAAGTTTTGCTTAGGATATGTTATTGTTGACGCTATAGCTTTTTGAATATTTTACAGGCTTCAAACTTTTGCATAATAAAACTTTAAAGGAACTGTGGATAGCATACAATGATTTGGACTGCAATGATGCCGATACCATAGCTGAGATGTTGAAAGTCAATCATTACTTGGAATTAATTGACATAAGCAACAACAATATTGGCGACAATGGTTTGCGCCACATTGTCCAGTCGCTAATAATGCAGTCAAAAGAATTGGAAAGACGAACGACGTTTCAGCGCGCCGCGGCCATTGACGACGACGAAAGCATGTCACCGTTTGAGACTTCTGCGCCAGTTGACCTATGCGATGGTAAAGAAATGGGCGATTGGAACACCACAGACGAGAACCATTCGGCTATTAAAACCGATTGCGACGTGGACGTTGAAGCGAAATTTAAACATCCCTTGAGTAAAATAGATGAAAAGCCCAGGGTGATTGGTTGTGGGGAACCAAGTGAGGCGGGGGTAAAGCTTGACGTTGAACCCAGATCCGTGGTGTCAACTTTTAAGCCGCCTTTGATATCAACTGTTGGTTCGACCATTGAAGAAATCGACCCGGACGAGGATACGGATGACACTGTGCGTTCGAGTACTCTAAAGGGTAATTCACAAACGTCAGGTGGAGGACAGTCCATGCTAGACAAATTACTATCAATGAATAGCGAAAGCAGTAGTGAAGATGGTGTTTCCAACATCTCCACCGATACCTTAGCAGCGTGCTGTTCCGAAGACGCCAGTTTAATAAGTGACGATGTATTTGATGTCGCTGCTACAGTCACAGCACCAAAAACAATGACAACATCCGACACATTCGTAAAGTGTCCGAACGACACGGATTCCGAGATAAGTGAGGGAACAACGGAGATTTCGAGCCTCATCTCTAATCCTTCTGCAGCCAGAGTGGCTCTGGAACCATCAGTAAGCAAAGCAGATGTCGACAAACGAGATCTCATTACACCATCAACAAACAATTCAAGTTCGGCGCTGATTGAACCAGCCGCTATTCCCATTTGTAATGTTACATTAGAAGCTCCGACATCAATTCAGACCCCTCTTGTAAATAACTATGTTAGCATTAATAACAACAATGATGTCAGCAATGACAACAACAATGTAAATGCAACTTCGGTACCTGTACAAAATACATCGTCCACGATTTTTTCTGGCAGCATTGTTGATAAGACTGCCGTTGCAACTAATGTGGACATCTACGAAGTGAAGGCGGAGGAACGAAACTGCCAGCAAAGTGATGCTGACACAGGCGGCCGCATGCTGAGTGGCGAGGCTCAGACGGCCTCTGACCCCACCAACTCAATGCAACATCATGCTGCTAGCAAGGCTCTAGATGTGAATAAAAATACCAAGCTGGGAGAAGACTTCGATGACACCCACAGTACAGATTCAGCATTCGAAAGTGCCTCAGAAGGTGATATTAGTCGTCATCTGCCAGAAGAATTCACCCGCCTGTCAGCATCCCTAGAAAGCACTCGTCTAGATGATCTGGCCAAAGAATTTTCCATAGAGACCGCAACAATTGCTTCAGAGTCTAATGAATGTTTGATCGCAGTGGCAGCCAGTGTGACACCGTCCTCTACTCCAACACCGCAGAAGAAACCGTTTAGTCAGATATCAACGCCCGTTTCGGAGAGGGAGCGTTCAGTAACGGAAGCATCTAAGTCTCAGACATGTCTTTCTAACTCGCTGCCGGCCACCGAAACTGTCCTTCCTCCTACGATTCAAGTGGGATTTGGAGTTCTTGGCGAAGCCATGGAATCGCCAATAGGGCCAGTTCATGAATTTCGGGACAAAATACCCAAAGTGACTATTGCCCAGGATAGTATATCACAGAAAAGTAAAGCCGTTAGCATAATAAGTACAAGTCCCAGTCAAACACCTCCGCCACCGTCGACATCTCCCGGCGGAGTCAGTAGCGGTTTGAGACGCACCGAATCCACTTGCGCCTTCTTAACACAATCCACACGAAATCGTTCCCAGAGCACTGACAGCCTGTGTAGCGATAATTCTTTAGATGGCAGTATTGGCAGTGGTGATTTAAACTTCTCATCGTCCGCACAACTAAACGAGAAACTTACGAAGAACGACACTCTAACAAGACAACAGCGACAGCTTGAGTCGTCCGGAGAGACAAGCGCTAGGTCGCCAGGTGGACTCAAGGCTCTTGCCTTGTGGAACAACAATCTAACGAAGGAGGCGGGTTCTTCCATTTCTGATCTGCTGGCGGAAACGGTGTCACTAGAATTGCTCAACATAGGAAAGAATTGTCTAACGAATGAATTCGTTTCCACAATAAAGGACAGCCTGACTAAAAACACCACATTGACCACCTTGGGCCTGCAAAGTGCAGAGCTGAGCGACAAGGGCATTGAAACACTAACATCGATAATGACATTCGGAGGCAATTGCACGCTGCAGCGGATTGACATTCGCGGCAACAAGGTAGAGGTGGACAGTCTGACGAAAATAGCGGAAGTTTTGAAATCGAACACGTCCGTAACGCAAATTGATATCGACGACGAGCCGAAACGGCTTTCCGTGGGCAGTGAGGCCCATTTGGACTATGCGCGAGTGTTGGAGAACGTTCGTTCAATGTGTGCGCGCAACGAAAAGACTCAACAACAGGAGAAGCCCTCAATAAACACAATGAGCAAACGAAAGGGTGGTTACTACTTGGGTTCGAGAAAAATTTCTCTAACTTGCCATAGCAGGCCCGTGGTCGACACCACAAGTCCAGTTGTCGTAACATGTTCAGGGACCGCAAACAGCAAGTTAGACGTGAAACGTAAGCAAGGCACACGCCTACGGTCACCGGCTCCCAGTCCAACAACGATATCACCATCTTCGTCCCCAAATCGTACTAGCAGATTTCAGGTATTCCGAGTGTCTGAGGTTAGCCCTTTAACATCACCCAGCACACAGAAACAAGTGGCAGGGGGGCTTGCTGCTACTAAAGCCATGTCGAGCAGTAGCGTATTCATACAGTCTGTGCCCTCGGATGTCGGCCCGAACGATCCGAGTTATCCAAATTTGACGTCAACATCGCTGCCAACTTCCTGTTCCTTGCCATCTATGGCAACGATTTCGTCATCGACTCAGTCCATAAAACGATTGTCGGTTTCACCTCGTTCGCGTTTTTTAGTACACAAAGTCTACGAGGACCCCAGCGTGCCACTGTCTAGTCGCACAATACCCCCGATAACTCCTCCCATAAACCCCCCACCAACACCCATGTCGAAGAGCTCCAAAGAAGCAGCAGCACAGCAAATCAATGAGGCTACCCCGCCTGCGAAGGCAGACAAGGGTGATAACTACTTGCAGCTACTTCAAGCCAGGAGCTCCGCACAGTCTCCCTCCATTACTTGCCCCGAATCATCCCCTATTTCTTCGACGTCTCTAAGGCGTCGAGAGCAACAAGAAAGCAATACAACCACCGATTCTTGCGCAACACCTATTCTGAATGCCAGAGAACTTGGTCGAGCAACACAACAAAGTGAACAAAGTACAAATACACCAAAATCATTAATAACAAATTCAACCAATGCTGCAACGGCTCCAACGGCTGGTAGCCAGAGTGCAGTAATTCAACAGTCCCCATCTAATTTATCAACTCTTTCGACTCTATCATCGTCATCGTCCTCATCTACATCGGACTCTTCATCGTCTTCGGCGACCTCATCATCTACCTCATCGTCGTCATCCACCTCACCCGCCAGCAATGTCGACAGTTCTGACTCCTCGTCGTCGGTGCAGTCGACTGAACATGCGGACACACAGGATTTAACCATTTCGGGGCAATGTCCCATAGCAGTGTTTGGCGACAATGATATAACACTTACCAAGAACACTGTCAACGAAGCTCTTGTAACGGCAGCTGTGGCTGATGCTAGAGATAGTACAAACAGTGCCACAGCGGCGGACGACGTCGTAGCCTCACCGGCAGCACCTCAACAGCGTAACCGCAAAGCTTCATGGATTGCAAATCCAACAGCAGTTGATAAACTATTGACACTATTCCATAATCCATTTCAGCGTAGCTCATCTCCGGAATCTAAAGGCGTCACAAGTACATCAGCGATATCTACAACAGAACCGACACAATTCAGTCAAGGTACGAGTATGGATATTTTAATAGTTGCATGGTCTTTTATTTTAATGGGATGAGTCAAATGGGTTTAGTAGACAAAATGCTATTGAAATGTTTTTTTTCTAATGCACTAACATTTTTGGCAATAAGTAACAAAACGAATCAATATACAAATCAAAGGAGGGCAACAGGCAACAACAGGTTGTCGAGTTGATCTATTTCCGAGAAACATATTTCCGATCTTGGCTTTTAATCAATACAATGTTTACATGTATAAATGGACATTCTTTTCCCATAGGATCCACAGTTAAAGCGGGAAGGCCAAATGTTTCTAAGTTCAGCACGTGGTAGAAGTCTGCATATTTTTTGTAATAAATAAATTATTAGAGAACTTTTATTGCTATATTAGAAAATACACTTATATAAGTTAGTTTATTCTGCTAAGAATTATGTAGAACTAGCTGGCCCGGTCCGCGTTGCCGGCCCGTAGTTTTAGTCTTTAATGCAAATTTTGCATAGCATAATATTTCACAAATCTAGCTCATAAAGGTGAACAAATTTTAATATAAATATTGATTCGACTAAATAGAAATAAATAACTATGGAAGGAGGGCAAAATAATTTCTGAATAGTCAAAGTTAATTACGCTTTTACACCCATTACCATAGCACCTGAAATTGCGCATTAGAGTCCCCAAAAAGTCTATGTTCTTGTTCATAGAAAAATTCAATGACGATTAAACAATACCCGCGTTGTTGTCCATCAATCGGTAAACATCACTATAGATCGGCGGGCCTGGGGACTATATGGGGACTGTACCAAAATATTTACGTATGTTGACATTTTTCTGTAAGATGGTTCTCTACTCACAAAGTAGCCTAAATACAGCAAATAATAGCCAAAATAGTTGAAAAATCATGGATACATTTATATAAGGGTTATACCAAAAAGTGGCCCAACCAATATTCTCTTGGGGATTACAAATTCAATAGAAAACAAAATTTTCTTTTCTGACCACCAATTAGATGTGAAAGTGGACTTGGGGATACTCCAATATGGGGACTTTACTTAAATAAATTCCTATGTGGCAATTATCTGTATGGTGGTTCCCTACCGCAGAGTAGCATAAATACAATTATTAACCAAATCAATTAATGAATGTGGTCAAGACCAAAATGGGCCCTACTCTGAAAATTTCAATCTTTATGCGAAAAGGTTCTCTACCTCCTTAGAAACAAAGATGCCAAATAATGGCCAAAATATTTAAAAAGTGACCAAGACACCAAAAATAGCTTAAATCATACGATGGTTATATAAATATGAAATCGGGTTGTACCCTTATCCGTGAGTTATGATCGATATCATGACCTGCAAAAGCGATTTAAGGTATCTTGAATGTTTGGGAAGATTTTCTGGAAGGATACAAATCCTTTTCTTACTAAGAGTCCCATTCGCTCTACTATTTTCCACCCTTTATATTTGGTATTTTTCTGATTGTACATTGGACGGATTATTGTGACAGGAAAGAAGTAGTTCCACGCTTTGAAATGAGCCCCATTAGGCTTTTTCGGTAATTTTTGTTTGTTCAAATGTGTTCACATCTTCCAGCTGAACCACGATGTCGGCCCTGGAGTTGAAAGGTAGATGTCAGTTAACATCTTATTTCCCACTTATTTCATTTTTTGGTGAAAATTTGTATATAGTGAAAAATTATTCTTTATTTTGTTCACAAAAAATTTACTGAATTCAATTAGATAATACAAATTGAAAAAAATTGACAAAAGAAGAATAACACAATGAAAAAATCTTCAACTTGTTCGCTGATTTTTTACAGCAAATGTTTAAAGATCCTTATATAGTTTGTCAATAGAATGTACTTCTATTTTAAAATTCGATTCCATTAAAATATTTCGACATCATCTATTCCGTTTCGCCACCACATAATTCGGTACTACACTTCCATGTAACTCGCCATCAATTTCATTTCTCAAGAAATCAAGTCAATTAAATAAATTGGTATTAATATTTGAATTCCAAAATAAAATATAAAAAACACTACAAATGTACATTAGAAAAAAGTAAGTCAAAATGGAAAAAAATCATGCAAAATAAAACATTACTATTGTACATTTCAAAAGTCAAAATGAAAATGTTAGTATATCACATTTTTACGCGATTTTTTTGGATATTATCCTTTTCGGAGAGAAGACAATTCCGAATTTGTATGAATCGTTAAAATCAGTTCAGCGGTTCTTAAGTTATAAGCGTAGTAACTAACACAACTTTCTTTTATATAATAGAGATAGCTATAGATTAAAAAGTACTGACAACGACAGTTCCTCAGCCCCAAATAAATACTTAGAGGGGGATGAAAAGTCAACAGTATCTCGTGTAATAATTTTCAAACCGATATCTCCTCTATATTGGCAAATATAAGGATTTTAGACAAATCAAAATTGTGGGCGCAAAAGTGGGCGTGGTCTATATTTTTTTCTTTAAAAACCTAACTCGGGGTATGACGAAAGTTTTTACAAAAAAATATGCAAATCGGTCCAGCCGTTTTCAACTGATTCCGTTACCAACAAACAACAATTGATTTTTATATATATAGAAGAAGATATGAAATTAGATTATCAGAATATTGGAATACGCATTTGATTCGTCTCGGTGAAATAAATTCTAATATTCTATCTAAACTAAAATTAGCTACATCTCATTATGAATTTGCTTTTGCTTCGTCAACCCCTCCAATAGCTATAGTTGTCAGAAATAAAACTCATATCTATTCCTTATTGTTCATTCTGTTAATGCAGGCTAAATCGGTTAATGTCTTTTATTTTAGTGAGTATTCTCACCCTAACCTACCCTAACCGGTCTTTGATCGGACTTCCCGATCAGAAGGGCAGGCATTGCTAACAAAATTAAATGTGTATGTGTATAGATTTTTACCTTAATGCAATATTTATGAGGGTATACAGGGCCTGAGATAGGGGCATTCATATTTCCCTACATATAGTCTAATAATTTGTTTTGGCATCGAGAATGTTTTGCCATACTATGCTATTACAAGCTATTGCTTTTTCAAGTACTGATTTATATTGTAATTAATATCGTGATCGTAAGTACATCGAAAAGTATATGGAATAGTAGAGCATTTTTTATATATTGGCAGGAATAACTCGGTCCTACAGAGTTTCGAGGTTATTGTCACTGCCTCTTAACTTCGATACACGATTACGCTATGCTACACGCTAAACGTAAATTAACAAATTGTTAATACCCGCATGACAGTCGAAATATTGTCATATGTACTATCCCTGCATCCAAAATTTGTGAATCTTCCGATGTTTTGTTTACCGACCCTTGCTGCCAGATGCTTCTTACTATGCCAAGAGAAAAACTTAAAATTGGCAAAAATCAAAGTACTTATATCAGCCGTTTTTGTAAATGGATCTGAGACTGGACTGGCTCAGATTCGTAGCATATGTAAATTTAACTAAAATCTCGCTGAAAATTCTGTTTTTTTTTAGAAAGATTCTTTTTTATACCCTCCACCTTGGAAAGGAGGGTATATTAACTTTGTCATTCCGTTTGTAACATCCTTAAATATTCGTCTTAGACCCCATAAAGTATATATATTCATAATCAGCATAAAATTCTAAGTCGATTTAACGATGTCCGTCTGTCTGTCTGTCCGTCTGTCTGTTGAAATCACGATACAGCCCACATGATTTGACGTAGAGCGCCAAAATTTAGCAGAGCTATTTGCATTGTGTCTAGGATGGTTGGTATTGAAAATGAGATATATCGGTTCACGTTCTGGTATAGTCCCCATATAACGGTACCTCCCGATATTCGGTATTTTGATGATTTATGCCACATTTTTTCACGGATTTGTCTGGAAATTGGTATTTGTAGGTCATAACGGGTCCCTGAGCGTGTGGCAAAACATTGCATGTATAGGTCCACGTTGTGGTATAGCCCCCATATAAAGGTACCTCCCGATATTCGGTATTTTTATGGTTTTTGCCACATTTGTTCACTGATTTGTCTAAAAATTGGTATTTGTGGGTCATAATGGGTCCTAGTTCGTGTAGCGAAACATTGTAATTATAGGTCCACGTTTTGGTATAGCCCCCATATAACGGTACCTCCCGATATTCGGTAATTTAATGTTTTTTGCCACATTTCTTCTAATGTGTCTTTTACCCTAAGGTGGAGGGTATTAAAAGTTTGGCCCGGCCGAACTTAATGTTTTTTACTTGTTAATATTGACTTTGGATTCCTATTTGATTCCTATCTACATCAAACGACTTAAAACCAAGAGTTTTCCACTACACTGAAGTTGGTTTAAGTCATTAACTACATAGTTGCGCTCCTCAATTATGAGATTTAAAAGAAGCAAGTAAAAAAGCTGTATGTTCGGCCGGGGCGAACTTTGAATACCCTCCACCATTTGGAACGAATATAAAATCCGTTAAAAATATGGGGGCTATACCAAAACGTGGACCTACATGGCCCATTTTTAATACCAAAAATCCTGCAGACATAACATACATTTGAGAAAAATTTTATTAATCTACTTCAATTCTTTCGGAAGCTAGAGCGATTTCCACAGACGGACGGACATCGCTAAATCGACATAGAATTTTATGCTGATCAAAAATATATATACTTTGTGGGGTCTAAAATGTATATTTCGTGGTGTTACAAACGGAATGACAAACTTAATCAACCCTCCATACTATGGGGGAGGGTATAAAAACACCGGAAATCCAACTTTGAATGTTGTTGATGAATGTAGTGGACATATCGAAAGTCATACATTAGGAAGATCTTGTCCAAGTCCAGCACTTCAATTCTTTTGTAACAGGTGTATACAAATTGCTATGTTCATCTAGAAATCCAACCATTAACACCGACACAGCTTCCAAAGAAATAATTTTTAATGACAAATATCATGAGACCTTGTCCAAAAAAAAATATATAAAAATACATTAAAACATTTCACGAAATATGGAATT